TGCCGCGCTATTCAGAAGAAGCAACATATTATCATTGAAATTTAGGAAACTGTATGACTATTCTACATTAAATTCCAATTGCTCGTTATTGATCACATCTTCTGGGTTTGCGCTTTTGCAATTGTTCTGTTTCTGCTTTCAACTGTATCTAATCCAGTTACTGGACTATTGTTTCTTAGTATTTGAAGTATGTAATTTTCTCTTCTTTGGAAACGTGATTAGAAGGTACAAATATGGAAGCTGCAAGATGAATTAAGACCAAAAAAATGAATTTAACGACAATATTATCTGCTTATACCAACGAATTTTCTCGTGCTTACCTCTGGACGCACAGGATCTTGAATGCCCATAATGGCGATCGCAGTCATACCATTTCGAATTGTTTCTTCATCCTCCCAGTCAATTTCTCCAATATACTCGACCTAAGAAAGTCTGATCAGCTAAGCAAAAAGTGAATTAAGAGATAAAGGTGTGCACTCATACCTGGTTGTCTTCTTTCTTGAAGCCCATAGGAACCATGTCCTTATAAGCCAAACCGATTGTCCTAAGGCCATCAGAAGCCATGGGCTCAATGACTTCTTTTGTTAACTCAGCAGCTTGAGCGGCAGCGAAGGGTTTGATCTCTCCTTCTTCTCCGAGTATAAAGGAGCATCTGAAGTTCAACGGCTAAGATACGAAACGTCTATTTTTTTAGTTTTCTATTTAGCTGATTTATATTATCAACTTACATAGACTCAAAAGCCCTCTATTTTCATCTCTTTGAAACTGACCAAAAAAGTAAAGCTTTGCATATATTTTCAGTAGATATTACCTAGATAGAATGATTTCCGATGCGCCCTTGGCGTAAATTCTGTAAACACCACTCTCCAACTGGATGACTGTCATCATGGATTTACGGGAGGAGTTAAAAGTGTAAACCTAAAATATGTACATGTTTTAGATACTTACAACAGTATAGAATGGTAATTTTTTTACCTTGAATAAAGTCTCTTCTGGATATCTGGCTCGGATTTCTTCATAGCTCTTACCCATATCGAGAATAAAGCCAAGCAGTGCGCATTCGGTCTTGTTACCGACCTGAGAAAAAAACTTTTAAAACTGAAAATTACAAGTGTATTTCCAATTCGCTCTAAATACTGCCTTAACTCAGGAGAAAGGAGGGTAGACGTTTTACCACTAGTTCTTACCTGTTGCCGCTGCTCTCCCGACTTTGGTGGTGGAAGTACTTGTGAGTTATAACCAGAGTTGATTGCAATGCCATTTATCAGTAATTCACGAGTTCTCCTATCGAGGCCAGCGTACGTTGGTGGTTGAGTTTTGTAAAAACTGCCTAAAGCGCTCGATTTCAGAGGATTCATCGGCTCTCATTTGACGAAAATTGACCGTTGATATATTGTTGCACACAGGTCATTCGATTTGTGGTTAACGTTCCGGTCTTATCCGAGCAAATCGCCGTCGCGTTACCCATTGTCTCACAAGCGTCCAAATGGCGTACCAGATTGTTGTCTTTCATCATCTGAAAAGCATTTATATAATTCGTTTGAGGTTTCGCGCATATTTCAACATATCCCAGTCATTTAATCTAAATAACTACCAATTCCACAGACACTGTTACCCAATTAATCATTGAGCATTTCAGAGAACAGCGTTTTTTAAAAATTTGTTTTGAGATTTCAAACGCTGATTTAGTCATTCACATGTATAAGATGCATCAAAACCTCAGCAAAGTTAGGGAGACTATCGTTTTATGTACATTTCTAAGCTTCCTGTGATAGCAGTACCTTTGTAGATACAACACTCTGCTTAGCCTGCGAATGGCAGGTTGTCACTAGGTACTGGTACAGTGAGTTCTTTGATTTTGTGTAAAAACACCTCTACAACGTGTTTTCTCTTATTTTAGAGTTTAGCTTTTATTGTACACATTCAGAAAGATCAAAAATCCCACGTGATGCGATTGCAGTGCAATACAAAAAATAGAAACTTTTCTGTAAACATCACATGTACAATCAGCCACAGCTGGCTCGCACGAGTGGTGTGCATAAATTTACCGTTTGAGATCTATTTGTGCTTTGAATAATTTTATGGATTGAAAACATATTTTTCTGATAGTGTATGCAAATTTTGAAAATATCTG